AAAGAAATATATTGTTGATGCTAAAAACCATATCATAAACTTAAATAAATTGTCTTCATTTAAATGAACGTTTTCTTGATGGAAGAAATTTTACTTCGTTTAAGACCGCGGTACATCAGCATCAAAAATATATGTATTTCTTTGCGTATGTATAAATATACCATCCTTGATTTGAGAATAAATGAAGTATAGAAAAAAAAACAGTACGTGGTCGGAAGTACAAATTTTACATGGTCGGAAGTACAAATTTGAACTATATTTCTATATAAGAACATTTTTAAATGGAGAAGTAGAGACACAACAATTTTCTTTATGTACTTATAGTGAACATTGAAGATAAGTGTTTTTTTTGTTTATTATACAGGGTGTTAAAAAAAGAGTGTAAAATATTTCAGGAGGTAACAGTATGAACCAAAATAAGCAGAAAAGTCTTAATAAACATGGGTCCGCCAAGTAACGGTTGCGGAGATATGGACCACTATTCGTTTTTCAAACATTTTATTTTATTAGGAATAAACCGACAAAGGAAGCTTTTAACAAACAAAAAACAAAGTTACAGAAGATGTTCAAAGTGCCCTCCGTCCATTTCCAAGCAGGCACGACATCTTCGTCTCAACGATATTCGAACTCTTTCGAAAACACCCTCCTTGGTTTGGATTTCTTGACACTTTTGATTAATCCGTAGCTGCAGCTCTTCCAGGCTATTTACAGGAGTACCATACACTAATGTCTTCAAATATCCCCAAACAAAGAAATCTAGAGGGTTCAGATCAGGCGATCTTGGAGGCCATAAAACAGGTCCGGCCCTTCCTACCCATCTATGTGGAAAAGTTTGGTGTAAATGCTCTCTAACGGCCATGGAAAAATGAGCTGGAGCACCATCATGCTGGAACCACATTTGTTGCCTCTGATTCAAAGGAATGTCTTCCAAAAACTCATACAGTGTGTTCTGCAGAAAGTTGAGGTAAGCAGCGCCTGTTAATCGGTTTGGTAAAACAACAGGACCTAGAAACCTGTCACCTACAATACCCATCCAAATGTTTAATGAAAAACGTGCCTGATGTCCAGATTCTATTAGAGCATGAGGATTTTCGTCGGCCCAAATATGCGTATTGTGAAAATTAAACACTCCATTTCTTGTGAACCCGGCCTCATCAGTAAAAAGAATGTTTGCAAGAAAACGAGGGTCTTCAGCATCATGACGTAGAAACCAGCGGCAAAAAACCAAACGTGCTTGATGATCATTTATTGGATTTAAGGCCTGTACTCGTTGCACATGGTATGGATAAAGCAGTTGCTCGTGAAGGATTCTCCAAACAAGAGGACCACTAATTCCTACCTCGGCTGATATTCTCCGCACACTCGTACCTGGATTCTGCTCTACCAGTGCTAGAATTTCTTCTTCTGCTCTAGGAGTGGATACCGACCTTGGTCTTCCGGATAAATGGCACTGTTTGCTCAAGGAACCGGTATCACGCAATCTTTGGTGAATTCTTCCAAACATGCGTTGTGAAGGAATCTGGCGATTTGGATAAGCGTCAACATAAAGACGTCGCGCTTCGGTGGCGTTCCCATTAGCACGACCATACATGAAATGCATGTCTGTTAATTCTGCGTTAGAGTAACCAGCCATAGCGAAAGAAAACTTGTGCACTGAGAACAACTGTCAAATACGTACTGTTTATTTCACTAAACATCAACCAACTATTATAAGAAAATACACAACGTTTTTGCAAAATAAAAAAAGGGGCTAAAAAACATAAAACATTCCATATCTCCGCAACCGTTACTTTGCGGACCCATGTTTATTGAGACTTTTCTGCTTATTTTGGTTCATACTATTACCTCCTTAAATATTTTACACTCTTTTTTTAACACCCTGTATACAATAAAGTTAGTTGGGAAGAAAACTGCTAGATGCTACCATACTATAAAGTCCCTGCCACCCTTATCGATAGTAAAAATAAAGATCACAGGAATTTTATAGAAAAGTCGCTATCTAGAATTAGTATCGTATTGCCTTGACAAGGGCGGTACCATTTTGTATTCCTACTATGCTTGACATAGCCCAGCAATCAGAATTTAGAACATTAAAGAAGTTAACAGAAAAAAATATGTTGATATCAGTATCATGCTCTATTCTGAAGAATTAATATATCCTACCATATGCATTTTACGCAAACATCAAGCCGAAGAACTATCGGTTGTTACATTAGTGTATCGGAGTTCATCGTAACATGTTATGATTAATAACGGGCCATATACATACGGGGTGCGCCGATAAAAAATATCAATTTCCGACGCGCGATGTGCTCATAATGTTCCAGGTGTAATTTATCACGCATACAAACCACGAGGGGGCATTATATAGCAAGAAGCTCTCCTGGGCGATACTCAATCTTAGCGCGTTCTTGGCCATATTGTTGGCGAAACGGACAGTGTTAAGGCATGGTGCCTGGCCCATAATCCTTTTGTAATACTCCATTCTTAAGAAAGCGATAGTTAATAGCGCATGGGTGTCATCAATCTGTCCTGTCGCAGTTCGCGATATAAAATGTACATAATTTCATATATGTAGGTATATAATTGATGAGGCATCTATACCTGCGAGGAGGTGGAACTGGATATTTGGCTGTCCTGTAGCTCTTCCTACACTTTACATTAAAATATTAAATATTTGCAACTCCAATTTGTTAATCAAATTTTTAATGCCAAAATACTGCCGTTACTTTAGGAAATGGAAATATATTCTACTCTTTTGATCAAAAGGATCTTTTCTCCTAGGCTAGTAACACTTCTAGGAGATAAGTGATATCCAATATCCAAAAGATTTGTATCGTTTATTGGTGATAATATAATATTGTGTGTCTACGCGCATGTGGTGACGTAATTCAACGAAATCATGGCATATATTGGCATCGGAATTAACTTAAATTGTCTGTTATTATAAATATATTGCCGACTGACTACATTCACACCACGATTTTACCTATATTTCTGAAGCAAGTTTGATTCAGTTTTTCCAGGTAAATTTTTCGTTTTACCAATTATATTATGTCAAATTCCAATTTTGCAAATTTGTATCCTCAGCTGAAAAAATTTGGGGAGGATTTCTTATTGTTAAATAGAATGTATTAATAATACGCATTTTCAATAATTAAAACCATTGAACCTGAGAATAGTACTTAAAATTAATAATAATTAAAATTGTTAAATTTATTGGGAACCTCTGGAATAGTACCCTACATAAAGACAGATGAATAGTTGTGGCTGCAGACAGCGCGCCCTCCGCTATTTTTGTAGTAAACAGAGAAATTGCTAGTTCAATTTTAAGTTATCTTCTACTATAGTTAGCCTGTGTCATTTACTTTTTTTCTGGATTCTTCTTTTTAACCTAGTTTTTATATAATTTCTTTGCATGTGCTTGTCCGAGATGTGCGTATGGGTCTGTATCTGAATAATTGCAAATAAACGTCCTAAAAACGCCCATCAATGCAGAAACAATGAATTAATAACATGATGGTAATATATGAAGGTACTAATAAAAACCTGTTGGTACATTTGATGTACAGGGATTTGTGTAAAAACTTGTAAACAGAGCAAACCGAGCTATCGATGGAGCCAGTGGTACCAAAAATGTTTCTTCGTATTAGTAGCCAGTAGATATTAAAAAGAAATTATTCTATTTGCAAAAAATATTTCTGCCAATCGAATTTTGATATCTTGGATTTATTTACTCTTCAAATAAACTCTCTAAATTTGTAAACACTCTGTAATATTTACATTATGGCGCTCTGGTACATTTTTGTGCCACTGAAAGATATTTCGAAAATATAATGCTTAACTGTTTTTTTGTAAAACATTATTCCTCGTATAAAATTAATAACCAAAAGACTGCTTACTTTTTTGAAGCCTGTGAAGTGACCGCTAAATTTAAACATTTTGGTTAGTGATAGTGTATGTCATTTGATTTAATCGAGTGAATACTAAGTGCAACGTATATTTCATTGCTAGAATAATGACCTTATTATTTCAAGGAAATTTGATTTACTGGCACTAACTTGTTTATGTAGAATTCCAGGAAGTTTATCAAGAGTGTTATAAAAATATACCTTATGTGTGCGTCTCTAGTTTATTGTCGAGTTGTCTTAATAAAAGTGGAGATAGAAATTGTCGTTATAAAGGAAAATCCTGATTGCTTTGAAATGTATTGGCAGATATTTGTTGCACGCATTTTGGTGGCTGCTTGGAATTTTCAAATTCAAAATATAGTTTGGTTTATTTTATTGATGATAAACATAAACTTAATTTATCACCTAGGTTCCATCCTAGGTGGTTCTTCCAACACGTAACATTAAGAATATGTGATATTTTTTCTTAACCTCGTGCTACTGTAAATGTCAATTTCGGATTGTCTCACGCTATAAGTCGACGAAGAAACACCCAATTAATTTTATTGCTGTTCTGGCCATCCTTCATAGTTCTTTTACGAAGAAGCCGACACTAGTTCACGCATTTACTTTCCACGAATTTATATGGTTACTATGTTGTTTACTTTATTTGTTGTTATTTTAAAACGTCTACGACCGTGAGAACTACTTTGGAGTGTCTAGAAAGAATCTGTACAGCCCAAATTATTAAAAAAATATGTAACAATGTTTAGACCAGCAACACTAAGTTATTTGATCATGCTCTTGAAGGTCATTTAAAATTCTAGTTCTTCAAAATTCAAATATAACCTTTTCCTGCATAAAGAAATACACTATGTATCAGTAGATGTATCCTAAAACCTCTTTCACTTTCAGTAATATGGAAAAAAATTCTACTCAAAAAACACATGAAGTGAACTTGGTGTAAATCTTTATTAATCTAAATGAAACACAGAAGATGCACATTTGTTAGTACAGTCTACTACTAAATTAAAAGTATTAGTTCTGAGTTGTGAAAAATGTGGTTGTTAGTAAGAACACGATGCACTGTTAGTTTGCACACTCTCTTACCAAAACAACTTCGACTTGACTTTTGGCAGGTTCATAGGTCACTTCCACGGTTTCAATTTGCACGACTTGCAAGGATTCGGGACCGTCGATTCTCTCGTAATCATTATTAGACGGTGGGGTCTCGGTGCCGTCAGATTTGTTTGTTTCTCCGTTAGAATTTGGCACTGCATCGTTACTATTTGGTATGGTTCCGTTCGATACTGGTACCGAACTTGATTTTTCTTTCTGTTGGTCGACATTCTCGAGCTTATCGCACGTTTCGCTGCCATTTTCGAGTGCCGTCGGGGACTTTTTTCTGCTTTGGTGGAAGATATGCCAACTGGTGTCGGTATACCTTTGGGCTGCCTCCTGAAAATAGGTTTTTGAATCGTTTTTGTCCTTTGCAAAAATAGTTAAGCCTAAATAATTATATTTCCTAGTAAGGAGATATGTAGGTAATGAAATAGAAATGATTTGAAAAACGAGGAATTACTATAAAAACAAAGGTCATTGTTGATTGTCCAATTGATTGTAATATTTTTTATTAAATAATATATGTACTCATTATTTCTTTTCCAGTTTTAAGTCATTTTTAGGTAAGCAGTAAAATATATCGGGTCTTCCTACTTTTGTTGGGGAAGATACTTCTGTTTATAATCATTTTTACTTTGTTAATTTTTGTAGTACCTACCTAAATGTTTTCAAAAGTTACGATTATTATTATAGTATATTAAAATATGCAAAATGTTTCTAGATCGATGTGTTACAACTATAAAAGGTTGTTCATTCATTTATGCTCAGTCTAAACAAATTGACAATCCATAAATTGTTGGGTTTAACGTAACCCATGAGACTGTCAATTTATGTAGGAAAATTAATTAAATACATAGATAGCTTCTACAGTGAAAATTAATGGCGGAAAAAAGTTGAAAAAATAAAACTTAGTCATATTTCGGAATCCTATATAGCAATTGTTTTCTAATTTTCCAAGGCCAATAACATTTTAGACGTACAAATTCAGTTGAACTGGAAAATCCATTGGCGTACAAATATCATTACAGAGGACCTTTTTTTAGATAAATGAAACGTATTAACTAAAATAAAAAGAAATTGTAAAGATTGTAAAGAATATTCCCTTCATGTAATACATCATTTAGGAAAAAATAAACAACTGACTTCCGTTCATTTCCATAAAAAAACATTGTCATGAAAATTAACACAATTATTCCTAAAATCGTGACAGAACTTTAGATTTTCTCATTTTCATCGTATGAAAGTTTAATAAAATTTGTCCCTTTTATTATTACAATATTTTATGTGTGTCTGCTGCAAAGTGTATTATTATTACTATTATTGGTTGTAAATGTCATCTCTCCTAACTTTCTGGTTTTTAAGTTTAGAAAAAAATGTTAATTAAAGAAATTATAGGTATCAACTAAAAATATTATATGATTATGTTCAATTTTGTACAGTGTTTTTAAAAAGTTTTACAAACAACTTATGATAGATCACCTTATACAGGCTGTTACAAATTTGCTTCTCACTACAGGGATCTCGGAAACGGTAAGGCTAACATGATTAGTTTTCGAAATATTTGAAAAAATAAACGAAATTTTGGAAATCCGTTTTTGTTTAATTTCAGCATTATTTGAGGTGATATTGAAAAAAGAAGAACACTTTCTCATAGCCACTTTTTGCCCTCTATCGAATGGCGAAATCAATTTTTATAAGTAACGTTTCGTCTCTCCAGGATCATCATCAACTTCACTTTTTTAAATACGACCCTGGAAATTTTATTACATTTTTTGCAAGCCTTCATGATCCCCAATACTGTACTGCCTCAGCCCGAACCAGATTCAGACGTTTTGTCTCGAAAAATTCATCTTCAATGTCAATTTCCAAATTTATCTAAATTTTATATTTAGATTTCTTTGTTTATTGAATTATCGTACACTGTAAGTGTCCTTAGACCTTGTGAAATCCATCTAGTTATTTAAATCATTACCACCACGCATTAAAACATTATTAGAGTTTTATTCCCGTGTCCATAGTTAGGTATTTCTAGGCTTCTCGAGTGCTCAAAATTCAAATAAATTCCGATCTATTTTTTTCAGCATATTCATACAAATACATCTGACATGCTCTTTCACAGTTGCAGTTACAGGTATAATAAATTCTGATCATATTAGGATAATCTTCATTTTCAACCTTTGCCAAAACGAAAATGTTGTTGAACATTCACTGAAATTTTTTAAAAAATAATATTCAGTGGCATTTGGATTGTTCATATACATTTTTAAGAATTAATTTGTCATAATAAAATTAAAATTGTAATGTTTCAATTTTGACGTAACAACTTATTGAGTTATGTATGACCAAGTGATGTTAATAATAATAAATGGTTTATTGTAACGTGTGGTGGTAATAGTTTAAATAACTAGATGAATTTCACAGGGTCAAACGACACTTACAGTTTTCGATAATTCAATAAACAAAGAAATCTAAATAAAAAAATAGATAAATTTGGAACGAATACACTGAAGATGGATTTTCCGAGACAAAACGTCTGAATCTGGTTCGGGTTGAAGCAGTAGTATTGGGGATCATGAAGGCTTACATAATATGTAATAAAATTTCTAGGGTCGTATTTAAAAAAATTAAGTTGATGATGGTCCTAGAGAGACGAAACGTTCCATACAAAAATTGATTATGCCATTCGATAGAGAGCAAAAAGTGGCCACGAGAAAGTGTTGTTCTTTTTTCAATATCACCTCAAACAAGGCTGAAATGAAACAAAAACGGATTTCCAAAATTTCGGTTTTTTTCAAATATTTCGAAAACTAAAAAAATCTTACATCACTGTCCTAAACAAGCATTTTATTTAAACACGAAATAATATACCGAATGTACTATTAAAAAACATTTGGTTTTGTTTATTGCTTGTGTTTTCAAAATTTAGTGTCAACATAAAATACTTCTAGTTAATAGCTACAATTTTTTCATTTGACGTTTACAACCGATGATAATAACGCAATGTGTAGCATTGAATGAAAGTCAGATTTTCTTGAAAAAAAAAATTGAACTGAAACTGATCCGATAAAAGAAATCGCAGATATTATTCATCAAGTGAAATTAGAAAACTATTGTTTCGTAGGTTTCCAAGATATGACTAACATTAAGTTTAATTTTTTACATTCAACGTTGTATCTTGGCAATTAAATGCCATCTACAAATTTTTATATGAAGCATCCATAGAATTTAAAGTGATTCTTTAACATAAACACATTAAAACTGCTTCACTGTTTTTTGACGGAAACATATGTAAATTAATTTAATTATATTTTGCTCCTATACCTAACATCGAATTAATATGTCCTTGATTCAATACGTCAATATTTTTAATTAATTTATTCACATTCCATCAATTTCAGTTTCAACTACATTTAACGGAATGCGTTTTTAATTAAATTATCGAAATCAATAAACAACTCCAGAGATGTATGTGGCTATAAGTAGACGTAAAAATTCATCTTGTCAGGCGTGTAGAAAACGTACAAATATTCCCTCGTATTTCAGGATATACATAATTTCACGGTTGTGCGTTTGGTTCGTGTAATGTTATATTAATTAATACACATAAAATATGATACGGCAACATTTGCAACATTAATTGAATATGTTATAAATCACGTCGAAATTACGGTGCCGCTTATTTTGCATAAGATGCATACATTTGCGTTCATTTCTACAGTCCCATGAAATACATCTGCGGCCTCAACGAATGTGATATTTGCCAAGTAATTTACAACTCTTACAGATAGAAAGCTTATTATGAGAATAATCTCAACTAATTATGTCCTTTTACGTCTACGTTGGTAAGCCTGACAATGCAATAAATTTGTAAACAATAAGTAAATACTTGTAGCGATGTCACAAGTACCCGTTGTTTATTGCCGTTCCTTTCAGGATTGTTGGGTTAAATGTTACTTTGAATGTTCTGAAATTGTCGGTTTTCTGCTGTTGGGTGGTTAGTTAATTGATGTATCAATGGAAGTCGTTATTTTTATTGAGTGAAAAATGTTTTAAAACTTTTTGGGAGATAACTAATTCAACATTCTCATATTACCATTGCTTTCCCTATGTAACGGTTTATACATTACGTTCATAATAAAAAAATTTATTGCATATACAGTGTGCACTTTAGATAGATTTTTAAATAGCGTGTTTGAAATAAAATAAATTAAATTATTATTTCATTTTGTGAAAGCAGAACGAAATACGTTGCTGAAATTTTAATTCGAATACTTTCAGTATTCAGTTTCAGTAACGATAGTACGGTAGTTCAGTTGTGTCCGAGTGTGATGATAACACTAAATAGTAGATGAGATGAAGAAATAAATGGTTGAATAGCTATAGTAAGCATTTGGTCGACATAAGAATTACAAAGCAAATTTTACAAATACAATACAATATATGGAGGTAATATTAAGACGTATACTAAAAAGAGACAGAAGAACATTTAATGTAACCATAGTAAGGAAAAGAGAAAAAAATATAAAATGATGGTACATTCCTCCACAATTCCCATTAAAATTTGCTTTATTTTTAAGAATAATAGTGGTGTCGAAGTAACGATAGGTACTTAAAAATGTTTGTTTTTACCCGATAAAATTGATATACAGGGTTTGAAGATCTTGTTCAGAGAAAATAATTATAGACATGGGCTGTAAAACTTTTCGTTTTCGAGATTCACTGGTGAAAACTTAAAATAAATTCACGCTTACTCATAGTGTAGGTATACAAATTGGCAGAGATACTAAGCAGACTGTCGTTAACAAGCCCAGAATTTAGAGAAATTAACTAAGTACAATTATTCCGTTTGTATTTCTAATAAAACTGATGTCTTCTATTTTATTCAAAAACGAGCCATTTTTGAGTGATATATTTTTTAAATTTAAATAAGCCTTGTTGAATAAATTGAAAATAACTCCAAAACTAATTATTCTAAATACATTGTAAGCAATAGAAGTCGAAGAAATTGTTGGCATATTATTTCTAATTTCGTTAGAGGTTCTTATCCCCCAGAAAATTAAGGAAGGAATGATTTTTGTTGAATGTAATAAGTGACTTATATTTAAAACTGTATTCCTAAAAACGTTTGTACGAATTGGAACAAACAAATAGTTATTTTCGATTGATTACTCTGAATTAAAAAAAAAACTTTTAAAACAGAAGACATAATTTTTGTTAGGCATCCAAACGGAATAAATGAACTTAGCCTATTTCTAAGAGACTCGGTGTCTTCAAATTGTAGAGTTCTTGATAGAGCGCCTCAAAATCTTCGTCACTATCTACGTCACTTCGTTCAT